TCAAACCTTTCATAGGGATGCATTCAACTGTTCTTTATTCCTCAAGGAAAACACTGTAATTTGCCTAAAACTGTCTCTCTGTGCATAATCGAATCTAATGCGGTCTGCACAAGCAATCTTGCCCTCGGATACGCCACGCACGCGCCTGTGGCTGGCAGTCCTCGAAATTGCGACCCCCTTCCGACCAAAATGCGACCCCTTCGTTCGAACAGTTCGAACGGACGGTTGACCCTGCTTAAAACCGCCTTAGCCAGCTGTGTGTTGATTGATCTTTGGCGTTGACCGTGGAGCAGCTTATCTACTATTGAAATTTGAACAAATATTCAAATGATTATAACTTTCTTCAAATATGACGAATTTTCAATCTGAAAGCAGATTTGGGAGTTTTGTGAAGAGCTCTTTCTAATCAGTGTTGAAATTACAAAAATTATAAGAAATAACAAATTTAGATCAATTAACGAGGAAAATTCGAGATGAGCACGAGTTTTTACACTTTCCGAAGCCATAACTTGCTTCATTTTCATCAAATTCGAAAAGTTAATACGTCATCATAAACTAGAAGATTTGCTCTATCAAATGGTTACTAGAACTGCTCCAACGTCCAGTATCTACGTTGAGGATTTTTGCACGAGTACCGCCGAAAGGTACTTTTTCGCTGCATGGCACTATTTCAACGACTATAGGTGCCTTCAGGGGCAATTTCGTACAAAAATGGGAGCAGATTCGGAATCCACGAGCTTTTTTCTTTCCAACAAGTGTAAAATTGTTTACGAATCTCAACTTTAACACTTATATGTTCATGAATTTGACGCTGAAGGCTGCATTTCTTGTTGAATAGTGTACTCCTCCCTGTAATTTCACATGAACCCTTTCAGAATCCTCTTGATTTTTCCTGAATTGAGATTCTTTCTCCAGAGAGCCGTAGTTGAAGCGCGCGCAACCAACTGGGCCCACTCTGGGATGCGCCGTGTGCTTCACATCCCTTCAGATTCGAGGACTCACTTGAAAGATAAAATATCCCTTGGAAAACGTGCGAATTTCGGATTCTTTAACTTGTGTGGTGATAAAACACTGAAGTAACTAAGAATTGCTAAAGCGGACACCTCTGAATCACGAAGTTTTATTTCGGCGGAATAACTATAGAAACCCTTTGCCTGGAATACGACCGATCACGATTTTGCCCACGAGTTATGATAACTACTGCTTGTAATAGTTACTTAACGACCAGTCATCAGTATGAAGACTTCGGAAACAGTCAAGATGACGATTTCGAAGGGAGCTGAAAGGTAATATGACTATGGCAGCCGGCGGTAAGAGCCTAGATGAACTGCCTTACCTTACTTAGCGAACAAGTGACAGGGTACACTTTATTCTAGCGGTGACTTTCTGCCTTGTTTGAATTTGACGAGCTTTTTTGTCACCCATGGTTAATGAGTATTGCGTTCCTCTTCATATAAAGTCATTAAGAGGCCATGTTCCTCGCATCCGAAGATCAGTACGCGCGCACTCACTTGCCATTTGCTCTCTAACAGATCTAGAGTGAATTTATTCGAAATTTTTCAAATTCTCTCATATATCGTCAAGCGAACATTTATCCCGCAATAGTGTGCCAACGAGTTTATCAATGTTGTTTTGCTCTTCAATTGCTCGAGAAATTTATCGGAAAATTCAAGCAAGATACGTCCAATTGTAGAGACAAGCGACCTGAACCTGACTGGTAATGTGGTCTTCGTCCATTTCTTTGTACGAAGCTGCCACATCCATAGTGTGAGCCTGATTTGATACCGCGACCCTGAATACATGTGTGGGTCTCGATAGATTGTTCAAAAATAAGATCTTTCGAGCAACAGGGTAGGTAGACCGAACAGAAACATTTACATGTAGATGAATCATAAGTGAAGTAATATGAAAATTCTCTCAATCCCTCACCTTTAACGAAACTCAACTATGGAATTTCAGAAATGAAAAAAAGTTGCCTTGGCAAAGGGGGCGAAGTCTTGCCTGAGGATCGATTGAAAGTTCACAGAACTAGAATAATTGAATCTACAACTTGTATGGCAAAAAAACTCCTAAGTCTGGAAGAATCTAAAATTCACCACCTCAGGAAGGTACCCGCTGCACCGAAATTTATGTAGTATTAACTTATGGAAAAAGGATCCTGTTTGTCCAGTGTTATGGTAGATCGACATCTTGTTGTTACACAACAACCTCAACCAACCTTGTTTTCTTCGAGGAAACCCTTGACGAGTTGAAGTAACGATTCCTCCTGGTTTCCATCCGTGACAGTTCTGAATGCTCATATTCTATTCCAGGCAATACAGGATAGGAGAACACTCCGAAGGCCTTTGTACTAACGTTGTCCCTGTGAGTTTCAGGTCAGCTCCTTTCGGTTTCGGAAGTGGCGCCTCTAATTCTTTACGCGCTTCTTCCGCTAATCCATCATCCCATTCCTATACATGGTTTTTAGAAGGGATCAAAGAATCTTTTCTATGCAGCTAAGTCGAAACCACTCGAAAAAAAACCAACTAGGTCTCCAATTATGTTTTCATGCAACTCCTCGATGGGACCTTTCATGAGCTCTGTGAAAGCTTCTGCATGCGATGCTGTAAAAGTATGTTGCTGGGTGGCTTGCAGAATCATAAGCCAACATGGCGTAAAGATAGATATATGCATATTCCGACTTTAAAATTATAGCACTTACTTTGAGCGCTGATATTTAGAAGAGAGAAGAACAGAAGTGCAGTTATAAGAAGCATTTCGGATGCTATGATTTTGTCTGTCCACCCCCCCCCTATTTATAGCCGACGACGGAGCTCTTTAGCTGTACATGGTCATCCATCTAACGTGTTTACTTTGCTGTCCCAGCTTTCGCCTTATGTGTTCTGAAAAACAGTCCTAGTTTTTGTGTGTGTCAAATCAAATCCGCAGCTCTGTGTCACGGATTTCGGTGATAAATGAATTCTGGCAATTTAGGAGCACAACGACACAAACGCGTTCTTTATCTTCGTATTCACCTACCATTGATTAGTAATGACTACTGGAAGAGTGCTAGTTTCGAAGGGAACGACCCCTAGCAATAGCCATCGACTAGCATAGTTTCGTAAGTTTTTTTGCGAACATTCAGTAGTTTATTATCACGTCCTTCAAAGTACCGTTCTTACAGAGTTACCCACAATAGCGATTTTTTGTTGCTACTCTACAGAATCCACCTATTTCTCATAAAAGAGGGGACTTATGCGGAATTGCGTATCTGGGCAGAGGGACAGTCAAACAACCAACACCACCATTGAATTCCAAAGAAATATGTTTGGGCTGACACTGATCTCGTATAGAGACTAGGCTGTCACATAGACGATAGCGAGGTGCGGTCAAGTGAAAGAGCGAGTGCGAAGAGTTCGTGTGGATACCAATTGGAGTCAACTTTCATCACAATAGGTTTAAAAATTCCCGAGCGGATTTCGCCTTACCTCATACATATTCGCTGAATTCAGTGACACAAATCAAATTCTACTCAGCGATACTTGCGTATAAATATTTTCTTCAAATGAGATCTACCTGCCTAATTTCATATTACCGGATTTTGGCGCTATATACCCTTGCCCCACTCTACTAACTGAGCAGGATTTTGATCGAAGTTCGTCCACGGCCAAGGATTTTGCTAGAAAGTTGTTCGCAGGGGTATCTCGACGAGTAGAGCACGAATATCACCAGTTTAGCGCGACAACGCTCGGCGCCCGCGCCACAGGCGCCGGCGTTATCACAACAGTTTCGCCGCGGGCGCCCGCAGCGCAGGCTTCAGGCTCACTTGCAACGAACTAATGTGATATTCATGTTCTACTACCGGGTCATTATAGCCTCTGAAGGCGAAGTTCCCAGCGCTTTGGTACTGTAGATTTCTTGAGGCCTTAATGCGCCGAGCGCATTCTGGCACGGCAACGCAAGCGATTCAGCGTAAACGAATGTACTCGGTTCTAAGGAGTACTTTATCGCTCAAAGGCGGGTTTGTAGCACGAATTACAGTCATGCAAATTCGAAAAAAGATAGAGTGAGCAGTACAGTGCAGTGATTTCATGATCAGGCGGTTTGCGCAAAAAAAGTTTAAATCAATCTTAGCACAGCTCAAATCTTGAGACAGTTAAGGCTTATTGGTTTGAAGGAACATGCCTACATTTCTCACCACGGTGCATTGCATATTCCCTGATTCACTAAGAAAATGCTCGCTTTCAACGAAACTGGAAAATGTTGCGAATTTTTGGGATGTCGGGGCATTCAACGTTACATGATCATCACGATCTACCATAACTTTGACATCAAAGTGGGACCTACGCACAATAGCCCAAATCGTCTTGTAGTGGCTACTCATATCACAGTATACGCAACGAGGTACGCGATTTCCTAGCGACATCGATAGAGCACATTCGTAGATAACACTTATTCAACACTAGGCGCTCTAGTCGTAAATCATGATTTGAGATAAGCAGTTTATGGCATTTGTCCCCATATATTGCAAACCCTCCCAGAGCCCTGAACCGCTTGTGACGTTGTTGACACCACCTCCCAACACCCTTCCATCAGTGACACCTAACGGCGTCATCTAAACCGTTACGCCCGCAGCAAGCAATCCTCTGCCTTTACATTTGTGTCATAGTGAGGGTGGAAACGTGCTAGGAGGGCTCGGCGTTAGGTCTTTTTTCATTCCAATAGAATAACCCCATATGAATTATCTCATATAGGAAAACGAATCATTACATAAGAATAGAATGTGGTCGCCGCTTGTTGTGCTGCTCCAACTCCATTTTGAGACCCATATAGAGGCGGAGGCACGAATGTTACCTCTCCTATAGCGCACATCGCCAAGATTTTCGTCCCTTCCCCCTCATGAGTAAGCAAGTCCTCCTTCACTGCCTCCACCGTCTTCAGAATATGACGTCCTCTGCCACATTCGAGCTCAAGAAGACTCATGCAGGCCGGCCATCGTTTCGGAAAACGTCTTAAAGGCCCACCATATTCAAGCCGTGCAGCACACTCTCATGGCGAACTCGTCCGATGGTCACTGTGGAAGGACTGGAGTTTTCTGATAATCTAGTAATGTGCTCTGCCAATTTTCATCTTTTGGGACCATTTGGTTTTAATTGAGCAAAGTGTATTCAATTCCGTTTTAACTATGGAAGAAGGTGACTTTGATTGCCATCTTTCCTGTGGAGTGTAGAGACAGAGAAATTTCGAGCCAGAAAAACCAATCATCACCTTAGTCCTATGCGTTCCTGACGCGTCCAGCTCCTGACACTTTCCAATCAATAATCTATAATAGTTAGCCAAAAAAAGATAACGCTTGAGTTTTTGTTCCTTCTTCCTTTTTGGGATTTTGTGCTCCTCGTTTGTGTGAACGAATTATTGGAGTGATTTAGCAGACGTGAATTCAGGATAGTAAGCAAGTGAAAGGGATAATGTTCAAATGATCAGTGACAAAGTTCTGTTCTAAAGAAGCAAATGTCTTCTCTGACAGTGTTTGAACATACAGCAGGTGGTGCTCAGATGGAAAAACAGCTTCCATGCAAAACGTGCACGACCGGAGTACTACTGTAATGGGAACCGTAATGAACAGTTCTATATGCAAGTGAAGTATGAAAAATCACCGCCGACCTCATATGGAAAATAAATGCTTGCTACAACGTTGTCTACTTCG